ATAAAATTTTTTAAATCATTCAAAATTTTTATCTCAATTGCAATTTTCTATCATTCTTTCATATATAATTATTTTTTTACATAATTATTTTACATTTAAAATTTCAGTTATTTTTAAAAGAAATATTTTTTTTTAAATTTATTAATGCTACAATTATTTGAATGAAAAATATCTAACAATTTTGATAAACACAATTATAATTTATTTTTGTTCAATAAAAAAGAAAAGAAAAATATGATAAAAGAATTTTTTTTCATTTGATAATTTTTTGATGCTATAATTATTAAATGAAAAATATGTAACACTTCTGATAAACATAAATTATAATTCATTTTTGTTTAATAATAATAATAAAAAGAAATATATGATAAAATATATTTTTTTGTATTTGATAATTTTTTTAATGCTATATTGAATGGTTAATAATAATAATAATAATAATAATAATAATAATAATAATAATAATAATAATAATAATGATAATAATAATAATAATAATAATAATAATAATAATGATAATAATAATAATAATAATAATAATAATAATAATAATAATAATAATAATAATAGAGGAAGGAAGAAAGAAATATATGACAATATTAGTGATTATAATTTAAAATAAGACCAAAGCTCGATATTGAAATTATTGCTTAAGCTTAGTTAGTTAGCTAGCTATTACCGTAATCTGTTTGAGGAAAAAGACGATGAACAAAGCTACACATCACATTTTGCTATGTATTCTCGTCATCGTCGTCATTCGTTGAATGCATATTAATTGTGACTTCGTTTTATTTTCTCTCCAATACAATTGAGCATTTTCCGTTTTCAAACAATTTTCTTTATCTTTCTCTCTCTCTCTTCCTCTCTCTCTCTCTCTTTATGCTTTTATCTTTATCAAGAAAATTTCAATCAACCTAGTATGTAAGTAAGTAATATAAAGTAAAATAAATAAGAATGAATAATTTTAGGGAAAATGCTTTAGCTAGTAGATAGATACTAGTAGAATAAGTAAGATTTTTAGACGATTGCTCTTGCTTATCTTTTACTTCACTTTCTTTCTCTCTCCCTCTCTCTCTCTCTCTCTTTCTGTGTGTGTCTATTTATAACTTTCTGTGTAACGAATGTATCGAAAATTAAATTAACTTCCACTTTCCTTTCTACCAGTGAAATTGTATGGCAATTCAAGAAAGTGTTATGCAGTAGTTTGATTAGAATTTTAAACTAGTATATACCATAAGGAAACAGTAAACGAAGCATTTATAACTATATTTTTCTAATTCGGATTTTCTAATTCGGAAATAATCCGGAAAATTATCGTTGATTATTTTAGTATTATCATAATACAATTTGTTAATTAGTTTTTTGCTTACTTCGATGAAATTAATTTTCTGACTGTTACTTATTGATTTTTTATTAATTGAGAAAAATTTTTTCGTTCAACTAAAATTATTAAACGATTAATTTTGATTTCATGATATCATATTGATAAAAAAAAAATCTATGTTCTACTTAATCGGATATATATCTTATCAGTATTTCATTTTTATTACCTTCTTTTGATACAATCGGATAAATTTTAATAAAACGAATTAAATTTAATACTATTTAATTTATATACCATAAACAATCAAATTTGTTCCAATTAATCGTGATAAAATAATTCAAAAAAACAGAAAAAAAAAGCAAAAACAAAATTAAGAAATTTTATGAAAAGGAAAAAATTATATTATTATAAAAGAATTTGTTTAAAGATGAAAATGAAATTTAGAGGAAACACTTCATATTAATATTATTATTATTAGGTATGGTTTCAAAATAGGCGTGCAAAGCATCGTAAACAAGAAAAGCAACTATCAAAAGCTTTGGTACCACAAACGGTATTTCCATCACAAAGTGCTACAGGTCAAATAATGCGAACACCAATGTATCCATCTACTGCCGCAATGTCTGCTAGAGCTGCTGCTGATCCTTTCTGGTAAATAAAATTTATAAAATTTAAATTTGTATTTGGAAAAATATTTTAAATTCTGCAAAATGTTTTAAAATATTAACTTTGAAAATAAAAAATAATAAGTAATATTGATTTTAAAAGCATTTAGTAGTTGAAATCATTTCATACATGGTTTAAGTTTGCATTTAAAAAAAAAGATATTTTAAGTTTTGTAAATGTTTCAAAATATTATATTAAAAAACAAAAATTAACAAGTAATATTGATTTTGAAATTATTTCATCTTATTTAACTTTTTACCAATGTAAAATTATTACTTATGATTTCTATCAATTAAAATGAAATCTATAAATTTCAAATTAAACAATCTTTTAATTGATTTATTTTTGAATTAATTCAAACAATTTAATTTTTTAATTACTGATACGAGTAATAACATTTTGTTGATAAATAATTTCAGGTATCAGCCATATCCTGTAGCTCATCCAATGACCTATCCAGCAGCTTCTGCTTATGGAGCTGTATCAAGTGCTCATACATTTGGCGCACCAATGACAACGTACTTTTCATTTCTTAATTTTTTTTTTTTTTTTTTTAAATTACTTTTTTTTTTAGATAACAAATTTTTCAATCAAAATTTGATTATTCTTTTCCAAAATTAACAATTTAGCAAATTTAGGACTGATCCAGCAGAGGATTTCTATCAAAAAAGTTTGGCACTACGGGTTAGCTGCCAACCACCAACGACAAATATTCAATATCAAAGTTAAATAATATTAATCAGGCATTAATTATTCATCAATTATTTCTATTGTATGACAAAATTTGAATAAAATGTTTGATCTTTTTTCCTTTTTTTTTTTTGAAAGTAAATAAATTTTTAGGCAAAAAATTTACAAATTTTAATTACTTTTATTTTTTTTTAAAATTTTTCCTTCTGAAAAGAAAAAAAAAACTTTTCAATAATTTACTTTGATGAACAATAACTGCTTCATTGTTAACTAATAAATACTCTCTATTTTTTTTTGTGTTGATCTCATGGTTAGGTTATATTTTGTGAGTAAACAATTTTTCTTGCACATTTTGAAAAAGCAAAAAAAAAAAAGAATTAAAGAAAAGAAGAACACAAATTATTCATTTATTTACATGTTTTTTCTTTTCTCTTTTTTTAGACCATTTTTATCAAATTGAAAGTTACTAAATTTCAACATTTATATGAATTTGAAAGATTAATTTTTTGCTAAAAAATATTTTGCCAAATTTAGAAGAATATTTTGAAGTTTGAAAATAAAATTTCATTAAAACTGATTTTATTAAATATAAAAAAAAAAAAAAAAAACGAAAATTTTGATTAAATTTGGGTAAGAATGTATGGGTTGCAAATAATTATTTGTTATGAGTGACTTTCTCTAAAAACTTTAACATAATTGCTGATTTTTTAATTTAATGATGTAAATTTATATTTATTGAATAGTAAAATTTGACGGTTTATTCTTATTAAAATTTATTCATTATTGTATTTTTCAAAATTTTCATTTTGACGATTTTTTTTTTGATGTAGCATTTTAGTTGAAATTTCATGTTTTAATATATTTTTTCACTTCTTTGTCTTGTTTTTGTTTTGCTCGAAATGGGTGTTATAAGAATAATTTATTTAATTTTTTTTCTTTTTTCAGTGTGATTACAAATATTTAAATGCTATTTGGATGTAATTTGAAAAATTCATTTCGTTATTTTATCAAATAAATATAGAAAAAAAAAAGAAAAACTAAATTTTGATGAATTTTCTTCTTGTATTATTTTATTCTAATTTTTTTCCATCCAATCACAGTGTTATTATGCTCAAAATTTGATATATTTTTTCTAAACTCATATATTTTCTAAAATTTCATTAAAAATTGAATTTTTTCATAGTGGTAAAAAAAAAATTCACAAATTAGTGAAGCACAAAAGGAAAAGAAATTCGAAAAGTTGACGATTATACAAAAAATTGAGAAAAAAAAAAGCAAATTTCGTTTTTTTAAATAACAGAAAAAAGAAATATTTGAAATAGAGTTTATATTTATTGAATTCTGTAGTAATTCATTACTACTAACAAAGTAATTACTGGCAAAAAAAATTGCTATAATTGTTTGAAAATTATTAATTGCTTAATTCAATAATTTCATATATTTTCAAAATTAAATTCTTTGAAGAGAAAAAAGAAAATGGTAAAATATTCGTTGTGAATTAATTGTTAGTACAAAATGTGATTGCTTTGCTCTTAGTTTATGCAAAGATTTATTGGTTTATCAAATAATCACTAATCAGTAACATTATAAAATAAAAAGTAAAATCTGATTAGTGAGAATTTATTAAAGTGATAAAATCATATGAAATAATTTAATAAAAATGTTAGCAATAATAGTGATAGCGTATCATTGTAATTGTTAACATTTCTCAGTTAATTAAAAAAAAACATTGTTTTGTTGGTTAAAAATTTGAATAAACATTTTATAAATTATTTTAATGTGATACAAATATATTTCATATATTAATATTTATATTTATTTATTCAGAATTCAATAATCGAAAAATCAATCTTTTTTTTTTCTCATTTATAAATGTTAAAAACAAAAGAAAATTTTGCTGTTTTTTTTTCTTTTGATTTTCTTTGCACAAAATTATTGAAATTAACAAAATTTTGGACTAATTATTGGTAAACTTTATAAAATGACAAATGATCAATTATAATTATATTTTGCATATTAATCAAATTTATTAATTAATTCATTTTTTTAATTTTTTTTCTACATTCATCACATCTAATTAATATTGTTTATTAATAAAATTTGTAGAAATACTTGACGATTTATATCATTTAAATCATTTCACTAATTGTTTATTTTATCTCAAAAAATTCCAATTTGAAGAAAAAAAAAGGAAAAAAAAAAACAAGAAACAAAATAGAAAACAAAAAAGAATGAAAAAACAAACAATAAATTATAGGTCGGAATAAATTTGAAATATTACTGATTAAAATAAATTATCGATATTTTAATGATTATTTAATCATTTTTTAATTTCACAACGTAATCCTCGATAGCCTGGCTTACAGATACATCGTGGTTCACCACGTGATGTCTTTATACATTCCGCATTATTATAGCATAAATTTAAACAAATATCTGAAATTAAAAAAAAAAAATAAATGAACAAATTCTTTTTAAGAGCATATTAAAATATTTATTTTTGTAAATTTAGGTAAATATAATATTAACATTATTATTTTAACGTATATTAAAATAATTGTAGCAATTCTTACGTTTGTACAATATATTTTACTGAATTAAATGATGCCTCTTACATTTCAGATTATTTGTAAAATTAAATAGATCAAGATTTATTGATCAACTACCAATCAATAAGACAATTTACCAATGAAGTTTGAGTTACATTTTCAGCGGATATTGAATATTATTTGGTAAATGAAATTAATAGTTAAATTATTTAATTTAATTTGATCAATGAAATATATATATATATAATTATCTGATTATATAATTATCTGATTTGACTGAGTCAAATAAAATGATATTAACCATTTAACAATAAGTTATACTATAAGTTGAATTATTTAATACTAGACTAACCTGTACAGGTAAATCCATTTCCAACAAAACCTGGTTGACATCGACAGCTATATGCTGGCTTATTCTCGTCATCAGGTAAATCGATACATGCTGCTAACCAGTGACATCGATGTTCACCGCTTGCGCATTGATTGGTTGAAACACAAGTTTCAATTGATGTTGCACCTGAATAAATAAATATAGAAATCAATCAATAACTGAAGAAATAAATAAATAGATAAATAAGTACAGGAAGAAATAAACAAATATGGAAAACCAATCAATAACTAAATAAATAAACAGGAAAATAGATAAATGAATATAGAAACCAATCAATAACTGAAGAAATAAATAAATAAACAAGCAGATCTGAAACTTAATTAATCTAGCCTTAGCTTGTTTTTTGATTGTATTTCAATCTGTTTCATTAGTAATGCATAAAAAAATAATTACCAAGAATCCTTGTTGTAGTACCGGATGGACATTGTTTACAAGCATTAGAACCAATTTCATCCTGATAGTAACCATAGCTACAATTCAAGCATTGTTTGTAGTACCAATTTAAATAGTATCCTTGTTGACAGCTTGCTAGAATTATCAAATTAAGCAAATTTCAAAAATAATATTATATTATTTTAGTAATTATGATATATCAAATAATGAAAATGCACAAAAGTTTTGTAATAATCGTAGTGAACTTTCTTATTAATAATTTCGATTATTAATTTGCTATCGTCTTATTAAACTAATATAATTGAAATTTTCTATTATTAATCTTTTCAGTGTGACAATATACATTGTTTTTTAGTGTTAAATTAAATTTTCATTATGTTCGATTAATGATTTATAAAAAAAAAAAAAAAAGAAATGAATGTGTAATTAAGAACTAACGTAATATGCAAGATTTCTCGCTTACTGAACCAACCGATTCGGTGATATATGCCGGATCACAGGGTCGGCATAACAGATCATTTGATTCTTTGAAGAAACCACGTTGACACGGTTTACAACCACCATCAGATGAATGTTCCTGTCCTGCTGGACAATTTTCTGAATTGCAAGGAATAGCAGATCAGTTTATGATTGAAAATATAACAGATTTAATTGTTAATTATTGATTATAACTAGCAAAAAGAAAAACAAAAAGCATTTGTTTACTTTTCAATAAATACTTCAAAAATGAATGGATATTATACAATGATTTAAATAATTACTTATTAATATTATTATAGAAAAATTTTTACCAATACATTGATCAATTAAAGTTGAATTGATGCTTAATGTAACAGTATTTTGTGGACATGGTAAACAATATGTTGAGCCTGAATTTGGTTGATAAGCCAAATAACCGCATGGTTCACATTTATCAGTTATTTCGTTCAAGAAATAACCAGCAGAGCATTCTACTGCAATCTTTGATCATTTTAAATGCAATCGATAAGATTTAAAAAATGAAAATAAATTTTGATAAATTGTTTTTTTTTTTAAAGAATTAAGCAAACACAAACCAACACATGCGGTAACATTAAGTGATCCAATTGCTAATGTCGTATAGCCTTGGGGACATTTGTTACAACGTGGTCGACCGGATCGATGCTGATAGTAGCCACGTGGACAGTGCTCGCATCTCTTTGATAAGAGACTATGATAATGACCAGGTTCGCAGAGTACTACAGGTGAAAAATAATTAATAATCTGATAAATAGTAAATAATTATGAAGGATGAATTGCAGATCTCCTATAATATTATCTTATCAGTGCTTCATAACTAACAAAGCACTGATAAGAAATTATTATAAACAATAAGAGCGATATTTTATTTATATTGGAATAGTATATGCTTAGATTTTTATTTTTTTGAAAGTTCTTTTTTATATCAAAGATAGCACTGATAAGGATAGGACAGTTATCATTATCATAAATAATATGAGCGAAATTTTGAAAAAATGTTTGATATTTTATTTATTATAGCTTTTGCAATATTACTTGCTTAAATTTTTATTTTATTTTGAAAGTTCTGTTTTTATCAAAGATAGCACTGATAAGAACATGAAAATTATCATTATCACAAGCAATAAGAGTGAATTTTTTAAACTGCTTGATATTTTACTTATTATAGATATTGGAATATTATTTGTTTACATTTTTTTATTTTATTTTGAATCAAAAATTTTTGAATTTTTCTTGACCAATTATTTCTAACTAATATTTTAACTATTAATTTTCTTTATCACTAAGTTAAAAACTTCAAAACTATTCCATAAGTCAATTCCATAACAGTTATCAATTACCATCATCAGTACATTATCAGTGATTGTTATAGTGAATTATCATCAGTAAGGCAATTGCTTTTATTATTATATCCCTGGTTATCATTATCACTATGTTAGTACAATTTTTATCATAGCAATTTGTTACCACCATCTCATGCTTCATTTTTGTTAATTACAAATAATCGGTTAAAATATTTATAGCATTGTCATTTTTTTTACTGCTCTTTAGCAAAATGATTAATTTCTTATCACTATAGTATAATTTGATACTTTTCGTGCTGTTATCGATAAGAGTTAATCAACTGCACTTTTTTTTCTTGAGTGACAGATCAAATAACAAATGATATTATCATAAAGTTGAAAATCACTGTAATGTTGATTTCATTAAATGCTCTAAATCATTCATTAAGATATCCCAAATATATACTTCTGTGTGAATCAAAAATCATCGTTATCACCATTATCAACTGATATCACAGCAGATGCTTAATGTGTAGCTTTCATATGCAAATGGTTGTTAAATATTTCTCTGATAATATTCAAAATTTATTTTTTTCATTTCAAATGTTATTGCTAGTTGATAGATAAGTTAAAAGCAAACTTAGCAACATAATTTATTTTTTATTTTTAAATGTTTTGTATGTATATTTCTTATCTATTAAACAAATAGTTTTGCTATTTTTCACGATTATTTATGCACAAATAAAATCTGTAATATTGGTTTAAACATTTCAATAAAATTGTTAGGATTAAAATTAGAAAAGAATTCTAATGAGGCAAAAATAAAAAAAAAATACTTTCGATTGATTTGGGAAACGATTCAAACAATTTTCAAATTCGCAAATATTTGATATTTTATAATGAACTATAAAATTATTGTTAAGAAAGCGTAATAAGTGATCTGCTTTGACTTTCTGTCATGCTTAATCGATATAAATAAATACTAATTTCATTAATTGATTATTGAAAAGCTAAACTAATTGTAAATTAATTAATCTCATCATTTAAAAATTTAAATTCACATTCATTTCATTCCTAATTGCATTTTCATATTAAGAAAAAATAAATCATTGTGATGCATGAATTATTCTTGAATATAAATTGGTAAATATTTTCATCGCATCATATTATATCATATCACTTTGTTTTAATTTTAAATTAAATGATTGGCTAGCAATTCACCTAAATTATTATGCAATTTACACAAAAAGCAAAAAATTATGATAGCGTAAAAATGAATGATAGTGATTAAAGTGATATCAAATTTTATCAATTCATTTTCAATTTGCATTTTAATTGATTTCAATTAAAATAAGCCAAAAGGAGGAAATAAATTTGTTGAATCTGATAAATTGCATAATGCTTTCCTGATTATTCGAATATATCTACCATATTGATCAACTGATTGATTAATTGATTCATTAATTAATTAAATCATCCATCCAAATTGATACATTTGTGATCAGCTGTTTGTCTACCAAATTGTGCGAATGCAGATTGCTAATCACAATTAATTATTTGCATTTAATTAACTAATTAGGAAGGTAAATAAATGTGAGTGATGATGAAGTTTAGTTAAGTTAGTAAAAGTTGTGTTGTTGTTGTTGTTAAAAACAATAAATTATCAACCAGTATTGTTATTTCATGGCATTCCTTCGATAGCTTTTTATTATTTCATATGCAAAAAAAGATTATACAAGTTAAAATGGAAAAAAAAAGGAAATAATTTTTATGAGTAATCAGAATTCTTATTTTTTTTTTTGTTAAAGAATGATAAATTTCCTTTTTCTTTCCAAAAAAAAAAATGCAATTAAAATTATTTAAAATTAAATTGTTAAATTTGATTATCATGAAACAATAGCAATAGTTCATTTCAATATAACATTTTCTTTCTTCTTTTTCTTTCTTTCCCTCTCTTTTTTTTAAGTTTGAAAAAGAAATATTAGTGATCAGTGATAATCAGTGATCAAATAATATTATATATGAAAACATTTTTGCATTAGTAAATCCCATTATCAGTTGCATACAAATAATATTACAAAAATTATTGTTAATAAATTTATCAATTTGTTAAAAAAAAAATTTATCATCAATCATTTTTTTTCTTTCTGTAAAAATTTTCATTTTTTATCATAAATTTTAAAAATAACAAGAAAAAGGAAATTTTTTTTTTTGTCGGTATTTAATTTGTTACTTTTGTTTTTGCAGAAAAGAAAAAAAAGTGATTAGATAAATAAATATTGTAAAGAAGTGAATGAGAAGTTGAGTTGATAATGAATCGATCAATAATGATCTGATGATAATAATTTGATCAATAATGATCTGATAATCATTTATGTCAAAAAAGGAGAAAAAAATTTAATCCATTCTTCCTATTGCAATATTTTTCATACGATTATCATTTTTGCTATCAATAACAACGGTTGCTGATGTAATTGGTATAGCATTGGTGGTAGTAGTAGTAGTGGTGGTGGTGGTAAATTGTAATGCTGAAAATGATAATGAAAAAATTGTTTTTGTAGTAAATGATAATTTTAATATTATCAATTTTAATTGGATAATGATAATGATAATAATAATAGTAATAATAATAATTAGTTTCACTACTAATAGTATCAATAGTAAATGAAAGGTATTACTCAATTAATCAATCAATCAATCAATCAATCTTACTGCATTTATCTTGATCGATTAATGTTGATCCACGATAGCAAAAGAATGCTTCATCAAATGTAAGTAATTGTGATGGCTTTCCAAGTATTTTTAATGCATTTGTATATTGAAAAATGCCACCACGTAAACCAATTTGTACAACAGCATAAACGGTTGATGTTGCATCAATTTTAACATTTCGAATTGGATCTCTAAAATTTTTAAAAAAGATTAATTTTTTTATTTTGCTTTTAAATTAAAGTAATGTCATCATATAGGTCATATTTGTATATAGCACTATAAACTGCTGCTGATGTTGCATTAAATTTAACATTTCAAATTGGACCTTTAAAAATTTTATTTAAAAAAAAAAGTGATTAATTTCGTTTTTAAATTAAATTAATACCACCATGTAGACCAAATTTCTATATAATAGCATAAACTGTTGCTGTTGTTGTATTAATTTTAACATTTCCAATTTGTTCTTTAAAATTTTTGAAAGACATTAATTTCGTTTCTTTACTAAATTTTTCTTTTTTTTTTTTTTTTTTTGCTGATGAAATTTAAATTGTATAGGTATGGTAATGAATAAATTTAATTTAAGTAATGCTTTCATTCGAACAAAATATTGTAAATTATTTTGTTTTGTATTAGCAAAAAATTTTTTATTACTGAAATTAATTAAGGTTGGATGATCATTTAAATAGAAAAAAAATTCCAATCACAATCCAAAAAAAAAAAAAAAAGATTCAAAATGAAATTCGGAAATGATTTAATTTATTTTCTCAAATTTGAAAATTGTTGTTAACCTTTCAGCAATGAATGTCGCATTGATTCGATAATATTTCGGCTGTACAATTTCTCCGGTCACTTGTACTTTACCGCAATCATTCATTTTCCTGAAATTAACAACTATTTTTTGACATTGATAATAAATGGATGAAATGACAAATTATTCATGTAATGCTTGATTAATTAGATTCTTTCTTTTGAGGACAAAATGCTACCAATTAGTAATTAATATTAATCATAATAAAGAAATTGGTGACCGTGTGCTATGCAGAAAGTTCACTTTTTGATTTGAAATTTTACATTTTTTTGTTTTGTAGCATATTTTTTTTAAAATGATTAATTAATTTGATTATTGTATGCATGTATTGTTGTCATCAAAAGAACAAAAGTAAGCACTAAATAGCTGAAAAAAAAGGTTTACATAAATATTTGTTACTTTTTCAAAAAAAAAAAGGAGTGGAATAAGAGTTTGTTAATATTAGATAAGTTACTAATTAGTTCATAGAGTTATTAATTGTAATTAGTTGAAAATTATAGAAATGATAATTAGTTATTTGATTTTTTTTCAGATAAAGATTAATAATTTAACCTTAATTATTGCAAATCAAACATTGCACTAAATTAAAATGTCAGATAATTAACGATGTCATTGTGCTTTTTTTTTTTCGAAAAGAAGCGAAAAAAGAACGAAAGAAAAAAATCTGAAGAAAAATAAATTTCATCATTTGTTTTATTTTTAAAATTTGGGATATTTAGAGCTCAGCTGAAATATGTTGAATTTATTACACAGAACAGAGATTTTTTTTTTTATATAAGATTTTCATTTTATTTTTTTCTAACAAGGAGGACACAAGACATTGAGACAAATGCGAAAGTGCTTAAATTTTTGAAAACTCAAAAATCTAATTTAATTTAATTAAATTGATGCTATCGTATAAATGACATTAATTTATGTTGCAAAATAATGACGGTGACAGGCCATGTAAAAGATGTTGTGAAGTTTTTTTTTTAATTAAATGAGACAATTTAAATCAATTTCAAACAAATTTTCAGCAATTTTAACATATGCATTCATTCTAACATGTAATGTGAGACTGTGTGACGACACTGATATGGAAAAAATGTTTGAAAAAAGGTGTTTACTCGACTTCCTATTTTTGTGATTTTTTTTCAATTTTTGTTTCTTAAATGTATCATGAAATTTTGTAAACAATTAGATAACTATCTAATAGGTCATTAAATTAAAAAAAAAAAAATAATAATCCCTATATTTCTATTTTACACTTTAAAAAACATACAATTAAATTCATCATCCTTACTTTTGCATTTGCAAGCGTTTTGTTATTACATTACCAAATGTTAATATATTTTGTGATTAACAAAATTTAACATGAATCGATATTTTAAATTAAGTAACTAATACTGGTTGTACTTTATAAATTAATATAAAAAGTTTATTTTTTAATAAAATAAATGAATGATTTAAATGAATTCATGAAGATATGAACGTATGCCAAAATATTTTCCACAGTTGGTTGAGAATTTAAATTTTGAAAAAAGGAATATGTGCATGAATGTTGAGAGGCCTCTAAATTAAAGTAAAATGAGTCATTAAGAAAGTCATTTCGTCATGATATAGGATAAAGGATCATTCAAAACAAAATAATAAATCCATTTAATGAGATTTTCTCGCTACAAATGCCAAAATGAAAAAGTGAAGAGAAAACAAAGGGAAAACAAAAAGACTTCAACGAATTAAAAATTTGAAAATTTTCTTTATAAAATCAGGTCCAAATTTCGGAAATATCTGAGTGCAAAAAGTTTCAATTTCAAAAAATATATCAATTATTTTTTATTAGAGAGAAATTATATTTCTTGGAACTGATCATATTCATATATATGCTAAGTAATACGTTTATTTTGATCTTTTCAAAATGTGAATTAATTAATTAACTAGTTTATAACAATTACACAGTTCAATGTTTCTATTAAATATAAATAGAATGACATATCTGGCATTCCTGAGGCTGTGTTCTTTTTTTTCTCTCTAATAATTAATGGGATAATTCCTTTGGCATTATTAACGTTATCAGTACGAAACATTTTAAATATTGAATAAAAGTTTTGCTTTCAAAAATTTTAGCAAGTTGAAAAAGAGGATAACAAAAGAAGATAATACAATTGGAAAAGCTTGTTGTACAGATTGTTTACAAAAACTGAAAATTTAAAAAAGAGATTTTTTCTGATAACAGAGCTAAATTTAGCATCATTATTTAGAAAAGAAAGTGAATTTGAAAATTAAGCATGCTAAATCGTGTTCCAGTTTATTTATCCGCACTTTTTTAAACTTTTTCGTTTCTTTTTCCAAAGCTAAAAGAAAATATTCCATTAAGATATATAAAATTTGAGATTGGTTGTGAATATTTTCATTGCCAAATTTAAATGACGTACTTTTAAAAAGAGAATTCTCGTGAAAATCTTCCAATTTTTTAAATTTTATTTATTTTCTTTCCTTCGTTTTCCTCCTCTCGCTTTCTTAATTGTTTTGTGATAAAAGAAATTTTCTCAACTTTTCTTACATTCATCGTATTTCCCTTGAGTACCATTGTTTTGATCGTCATTAAGTGTTTTTGTGCTTTCTTTTTTTTTCCTTAGAAATTTTCAAAATCATTAGTTTAATTTCAAACAAATTTAGAAACCTACCCCCTCCAATTTGAGATTTAATCTATTTTCCTCCTTTCAATTCACTCCACTCTTACATCTCTCTGATAAATGATTAGTGATTAGTAACTTGCAGTAATTTTTACTTTTATAAACTTATAATAGATAAAGAAAGAAAATTCGCACTTCGATATTGTTGATTGATAAAATATTCCTTCACAGCTAGCAGTGGAAGATTGGAGGTAGGGACAGAATTATCATAGAAATACAAAAAAACAAAACTACCATCTACCATATAATTACTATTATATAATCATAAAATAATTTTTACGATTATGAATCTTAATTTATGACTATAAATGTAAAAAATTTTACGAATTATAACTCTGTTTACATATAATCACATAATACAGTAACCGCATAATCATACTGTAATAACCGTATAATCACGTAATCACATTCATTTACGGTACAGTAATACATTTATAATCACGTGATATGATTATAACAGTACAATTATACTTATCTTAACCGTATAACCATACAATAAACTCATTTACGAAATAATCATAATTGCATAACTGTATAGTTACAGTAATATTCTCTCACGGTACTGCCATAGTAATACAGCTTTAACCGTACGATCATACAGTAGTTTTTGTCTTAACACAAAATAGAATAATTAAATTACTGTCATACCATTTCAAAAGTTTTTCTTTTTAAATGAAAAAAAAAATATTGAAAAAGCAAAGACAATAAATTTGTTTTTATAATATCGAATAATGACAGTGCCATTTGGTATGTGAAAACATTTTGATGCTTTTTTTTTTTTGAAATCGACTTGGTATCAATACTAATTCTTTCGTTATTTTTCGTTTATTTTATTTTTTCTCTATTTCTCTCTTGCTCTACCTACTATTTTAATCTTTTATAAAATAAATTTAACAAAAAAAAGAGAAAATTTTTCGAGGAATTTCACGAAAATTTGATCATTATTTTAACAAAAATTTTACATTGTTCATTCATTTTATTGTTGGTTCATTGTTACTACAATAATTGAGAATGGTTTAAAATTTCCTTCCCTCTTCCTTCTCTTCTTTTTCTTTCATACTTCATACTATTTCTATCATAACAATAAAATTTTAACTAGTTAATAAACTAAAAGTTTTATTTTGACTTTTTGAATGTATAAATTAATGTATTTTCTTATTTATTTATAAAATTTTTCTCAACGAAGTTTTTTCTCCCTTTTTTTAAAAAAAAATGAATGGAAGAAAAACTGAACAAAAACTTCAATTTTTAAACATTTTAATTTATGGCAGTGTTAATAAACAATGTTAAAGCAATTAAATATTTTTGATAATGATACAATCTAGAGATCAGATTGTGAAGGGAAGAAGCGAAAAATGGATGTCACTTTTGTGAAAACGATTTATTATCAAAAAAAGATGAAATTGTGAAATAGGACTAAATAAATTAAATAGTTCAAGCAAAAATACTTTAGTTGTATAATTGTATTCTATTGAACTGATAATGGATAATATATCTGCGAAAGTAGCGTTAAATAATGATTTTAATTGAACTTTGAAGTCAAAATTAAATTTAAAATTGATTTCAAATTTTCATCTTTACTACCGTCAAAAGGATCTGCATTTGCATCACCTTATCCTATTGGACCTTGTAATGGATAGTATACTGAAAAAGTATTATTAAATATTTACAATACTAAGAGGGTAAAATTCTAATGTTTGTTATTAAAATTTGAAATATCGTATGCATAATTTAAAATTTTTTATCTTTGCTGTAAATGCAAGAATTTATTTATTATCTCAAAAATTTAGTAATTTCACTAATCGTTTGCGAAAAACGTATCATATGGCAATAATATAGTTTGAAATGTATAAGAGAGAGAGAAAACTGGAAGGAGAATGAAGTTATTGCAGATAACAATTAGAAAAAAAAAAAAACGTTAATTTTAAATTTAGTCCTCTCTAAGCTCTATTCGTAAACAATTTACTGAAATAAGCTGATGACATAACTTCCGGAAAATGATATGATCAGAATTTAAAGAGTAAATTTAATCACAACGATGAGTAACTAACCTAATCAGTTTAATGGAAAATGTAATGATAGCAAATGATGAAATATTTCTAACTCTTCCATATCACTTTCTCTATACTTCATTAATCCATTTATAGGATAAGCAGAAAAAACTAAGCTTATTTAAACATTAGTAGACAATTTTAAAAAAACCTAATTGTCAAATTGTATGATAAACATGCAAATTAAATTGTATAAAGTAACTAAGATGAAATAAAAGATGAATTGCTATGAAAATAGTTTCAAAAAAAGAAAGTTCATTGAAAGAATAACTTACTTTTCAGATTTTGAACCACCACAAATTAGCCAATGCTTATTGATGAAGCGTAATGATGCAAGAACACTATTACGCATAATAGCATTCCATTTTGGTACCTTTTGAATACTTTCAAGTGATGCATTCGGATAATCCACCTGAAATCGTACCACTCGAACAGCTGGTACTGTTTCTTGAATTGCAGTACTTTCATGTATTGCAGTTAACAATACAAAGCAGCAAATAATATTAGCCAAAAAATATCGTCGTTTATAGATGATGAATATATGATGATGATGATGATGATGATATATTATCATTGTTATTATTGTTGATGCACTTGTTTATCAAGTCTACTACTCTTGAATACTGTTATTATTACTTTCACAACAATAATAATAATAACAATAACAATAACAACTACAGCAACAACAATAACAACCAAAACAACAATAATAACAATAACAATAAATAGGAATTGTATTAGTAGTTGTAGTAGTATTATCACCTTTGATAATATATTATGTAACAATAACTCCACCCCATCTTCACATCCTTTTCAGAAATGAAAGATAAATTTTCGAAATTGAAAAAGATTAACAGCTGACAGAAGAGAGAATGACAATTAAAGAAAAATTTTTATTTTCCACATTTTCCTGTCTCACCAATTTTCCTGAATTTATTTCATTGATTCATTATTGTCTATTATTCTTTGTCATGGATATCGTTGACCTAAATATTACTTTTTATCTTCTTTTTCACCCTCTTATTATTTTTCCTAATTCTTATTTTCATTCCTATTCTTATCCTTTCTCTTATTTTTTATTTATTTTTTTTATTCTTATTCCTATTTTCATTATTATTTTTATTTTTACTTTCATTCTTATTCCTAGCTTTCTGCATATTTCTTTATTTTTAATCTTATTATTATTCTCACTCTTATCACTCTCATTCTTATTCTCATTAATCTCTTCCTATTCTATCAAAACATAAAATTTAACAAATTTAAAACTGGAAAAGAACGGCGAAAAAAATCGTTAAATAATTTGAATTTCTATTGTATCTAAATAGATTGTTTTCTTAACAAATCTAATTATTTTTTCATTCCTTTTTTTTTCTCTCTTTATTGTATTAAAATGATTTCTATTCAATGATTAATTAATCAATTTATCTTTTTGAAATTTGATCTAATCTTCTTTGTCTCTTTTTTTCTTCCTCTTCCTTAATCTTTTCCAAACATATTTATTTTATAATTATTCAGACATATTTATTTATATAATTATTCAAAAGATTTAAAATAAATGAAAAAAACAAAAAACAAAAAAAAACTAATCGCTTATAATTCGGTCAAAAATTTAGTTAATATTTTATGTATTGTATTGTTCTAATTAATTCATTATTGAAATAATTCTTTTATTTATTTCTTTTCAGTGAAATGAATAAATAATTTGAAAATATTCTCTGCCACAAACCAAAATGATAAAATGCAAAATATTTTGGAGAGGAGAAAAAAGAAAAGAAATGAAAGTAACAATAATAATTACATCAGCAATTAACGATCATTTTAAAAATCCGACATACGAAGACTGGAATTTTACAAATTTAATAAAATAAATAATTCAATGGAATGCAGAAGAAAATAAAATAATCTCCAAATTTGAGATCATTTTTTAGAAATCAAAAAGAAAAAAAAAATGTGTCGAATTTTTTGAATTATGTATAATATTTAAACAAATTTAAGCATGATTTTTTTTTCTTGAGAAACTAATTTATTGATATTTTTAATCATTTTTTTTTCTCACAAAAATGTTGCCAAAATTATTTAAATTAAAATGCAAAATTTTTGAATTATTTTGGTATAGATATGATAAATGGATTCAGCAACATTGTTTATAATAAGCTAATTTTTCTTTGAGAATTTAATCGTTCTTAACAAATTGTTCAATATATTAAATTAATTATAAAAGTTTTGATTTTTTTCTTCTCTGAATAATTTGAAAAATTAATGCAACAAAATTTCTTGTACGAAGATATTTTGAATTTCTTATGAATTTAATTAAATATTTCATTTTCACACCCCAAAAAAAAAAGTGGAAAAAACGAAAAGTGAATGTTCAATTTGTAAAAAAATAATTCTTTTTTCTAAAAAATTTAAAAATTTCTAAAAAATAATTTCTGACCTTTTTTTCCTTTTCTCTCCTAAACAGCTTTAAAATTATACCTTAAAAATAATTAATTCTATTATAAAGCAAGTAATAATCATTTTTTCAACAAATACTAATTTTGTCACTAATTAAAATATGAAAAGTTGTTTCTTTAAAAACTGTCCGAGTAATTGAATAAACATTAAAATTAAAGTTTAAGTTAAATTATAATATCATTATTAGAATTGTTAAATTATTAATTAATAATAATTGAATTAATAATTAAAATAATATTATGACTGCAATTAAGCTTAGCTATTGATTAAAGTTAAAATATTAAAAGCAATAAATGATCTCAATGATAAATGAATATTATAAAGTATTTATTGATAATTTGTTCAATTGAGATTAAATTTAAAGAATTTCGTAGTTTTGATGTTTCATCCTTTTTTTTTTTTTGTTTTTTTTATCATAAAATTGTTAGAATTATTCAATTTAAAATCTTTTATTTTTTTTTTCTTCTTATAACTTGTTTTCTTCAAAATTAATATTCTATCTCTATCGTAACCAAAATATTTTATGAAATTTCTCAAATCTCAAGGGAAATTGAGAGGGTGAGAGAAGGAGAGAGAGAGAAAGAGGGAAAGAGAGAGGTAAGATAAGAAAAAAATAAGCTCTCAAATAATGACTTTATAGCAAATAGATAGATAACATAAGTTGAAGTAAGTTTGAAATTAAATAAGTTACACAAATTTTTTCTTTCCTTTTTTCTTCTTTTTTTCGATTCCTTTTTCTTTAGAGAATTTGAATTGACCTATGAGAAAGTTATAGTTTTGATAATTTGTAGACATAATTTATAATTTTAGGAGTAAACGTTCCATTTTAATTGTACAAAAATATAATTGTATATAGCTAAAGTTTTTTTAATATGATGTTCTTGACATGATAATTTACAAAAAGTTTAGTTTAAATATTTATTTTAGAAAAAAAAAATCGGTTGAAAATATTTATTTAACTAATACAACTACAAATTTATTTTTCATTCTTTGTTGATTTTTTTTTTTAATTCCTTATTTGTTTGTTTCTTTTTAAAATATTTTGCTAAATTTGCATATTGTGGAAAATTTGAAAACTTTAAGGATATTTTTTAAAGATATTAAAAATTTAAGCGCAGTACTCGTTTTTTGGTATAAAATATATGCAAATTTAAAAGTTACAAGAAAGTTTGCATACTGCTTTTATATCATCTTAAAATTTCATTTAAAATAAATTCATAATTCTTTTTTTTTTAATAAAAAATGATTTGAGCAGAATACTTTCAATTTCTTTTCAATATTTTAGCATTTTAAAATAACAAATATAACAAGAATTATCAAAAAAAAAAAAGATCAAAAATTAGTCATTAAATGGTGTTTTATTAATAAATCTATCTTTCATCAATTGCAAATACTAAAAATATTTCTAATAAATTGAAGAATTGAATAAACTGCGAATAAAATCACAGTTTTAATGTCACATCAAAAAATTAATGCATTAATTTGAATAAAATATTTAATTGGACGATATTTTGCTGTGTGACATTTTTAACAACAAATATATTTGATGTAACATAGTTGCATGTTTAAAATGAATGTTAAAAATTTATTATCAGTGATGTGAAAAGTGTGATATTTAGAAGATTTTAATGATCTCAATTTTTCGTCTATCTATTAAATCTCTCACATTTTCAAACTCTTTTATTTCATTCGTTTTATTTTAGCCAAATGACCGTTATATATTGCACTTTTGTGATTTAAATTTTACTAAAATTTCAATAATTCAATTTTACAATCAGATAAGCTCATCGAATTGTCCATTTTCGCTATATTTGCCCCGAAATTTTAACACTGAATGAAAAAATTTTTGACTGAAAATACATTTTAAAATAGTAATAAGAGGAAAATGAATGAAATATCAAAAAATGAAATAAATTTTTTCAGTTAATAAAAATTGCTAAATATTAAACAATTATAATTATCTTTTCTTTTCGTTTTTCAAAAAAAAAAAGAATGTATTAATTTTTTGATAACAAATTTTAAGTTTTCATAATTTTCACAAATGATTTCCTCAAATGTTTTTGCTCTGTTAAATTAGTACACTTAAATAAAGCATTTAATTTTCTTGCGTTTTTTATTTTTTCATAAATGTGAAAAAAATAAAAATTCATATTAATTTTTCTTGCAATAATGAAAAGGAGAAGCGATAAATTAATTTTTGCAAATGAATTGAATTTTTTTATCAAATTGCTATTAATTGTTATAATTAAAATTACTCAGATAACTTTTTGAAAGAAATTGTGGGAAATATTTAAATTAAAATTACTGATATCTGTTAGAGAAATTTTCCTTGAAATTGAAGAAAAAAAAAAAAGTAATCAGTTAAAAGAAAGTTTGTAAGCACTGCTATCTTTTTTTTTTAAAATTTTTAAATCATTTTAAAGTGTTCAATTTTATTGGTTAAATATGAACTGAGAAATGACATAAAATATTTGAAATAGGCTTTGGTTTCATAGTAAATAATGGTACTAACAGATAACATACAATAATCGTAGGTAATATTTATAATTATCATATGAGAATTCATTAAAAACATTGAAATTCAATTTTGATTTAAATATTTTCAATAAGTTATTTTGTTTGTTTCCTTTCTAATCATTTAGACAAAATTTTTTAGCAATTTTGTTAATTATTATTTTTAGCATAAGGTATTCAGTATTGGAAGTAAAACAAAGCTTGCAAGCTTACTTGAAAAATTAATCTTATTTGAATTGCACAGTAATTTATCCTCTTATCAGATTCAAATTTAAATGAAATTATCCATCCATTTTTTATAGTAAATTAATAAAATGATTTTATTTTTCCTTATCATTAAAATTAAATTATTATTTTTTATTATTCCAGCATATTTTGGTGCAATTTATTGTACAGCGATAAACTTTGAATGATTGTTGCTGCTCGATTTACTAGCAAAGCTAAACAAAGCATTGCTGGTGATAAGGTAAACAAATTTTAATGTGAATTATTCACCAAAAAAAATATTAATTATTATTTTTATTATTATAAAGAAAATGATATTTCATTATTTCAAAATGAAACATTATTGAAATTATTTCTGAAATTATTAATGATTTTTTTAAAACATATTTGAATTTGCTTAACTAAAAAAAATTTTTTTTTTGATTATTTATTATTTTTGATTACTTAATATTTGATTATTTATAAAATTTAAAATTCTACAAAACTTTTGCAATTTTACTGGGAAAAAAACAACAAGAAAAAGATGTCATACTTAAAAAAATAAAATATCTGTTTGTATTTTTTGAAATTTTTACTAATAACTTTTAATTACTATTAAAAAAAAAAACAAAGAATTCTTTTACGTCTGTAATTTACAGAAAAAAACCAACAAATCCCAACGAAACCGAAAAAAGAATTCGGCACCATCCCATCAAACATTTACATCCGTTACACCGATTAATAATAGGCTCCTGTCACATTCATCATTGAATGAAGAAAACGGTGATCAAAATTCCGTTTCCGCATTTCAAGCAATCCATTACGGATCCATATCCAATCTTCGTTATATCGGTGTATGCAATTATATTTGTCATTTTTCATTCCTTTTTATTAACAAATAAAATATATTTTTTTTTTTTAAGAAAATGAAAAATCTAGTTTTTTCAACTAAACAAACCCTTTAATAAAAAAAAAAAATACTTTCTAAAATTTAGTATATATTTATATATTTAAAATTTTCTCCATTGCATATATTTTTTTCAAAAGTTTTCATTTTTTTTTAAACTTTATCTTTTATATATATATATATAAGTTTAGTATACGTTTAAATATTTAAAAAAATTTTTTTTCAAAAATTTGGTATATATTTAAATATTTAAAATTTTCTCTATAACATATATTTTTTTTCAAAAGTATTCTTTTTTTTTTTTTAAACTTTCTCTTTTATATATATATTTGATAAATTTGATTGATATTCAAATAGATATTCAATTTTTGGTTATTTCAAATTTTTATTTTCTAATATTTCAGACAAATAAATGGGGTTTAATTTATCAACAAACACTTGCTTTAAAAGTGACATGGAATAGATTATGTAAAACACCACATTCAGCATGTCGTGGTATCAGTGCTATCATGGGAGAAGTTTTTAATCGTTTAAATGAGGCATTCATAAAATATTAATGCTTTTTTTTTTTTTTATTATCTTTCTTTTCTTCTTTTTTTGTTCAACAAAATTTGATGAAATTTTTTATTTAAAATTTAAAAATTATTAAAATTTTCTATCGCTTTTTTATTCATTAATATAGTACAATAAATATTTACGTATATTTTTTTAAAAGCTTTTTTTAACTTTTTTTTTTAAATTTATAGAAAAATAAAATACTTCGCGATATCTTTTACAATGCAGCATTTGTTAATGGTATCACAGAAGGTCGTACAATTGCAACATTACATGATCATTCACATTTTTTCACATCATTAATTAGTCAAATAATTCAATCATTGGATACAGATTCGGATGATATTCTCAAACATATTAAGAAAATTGGTTATATATACATATTTCTTTTTAATTTAATTTAATAAAATTTATAATTGAAAAAAAAAGTATTAAGAATATTAGTTTTATTACAAATAATTATATAATTGAGAAAAATTGTATTTAGTTTATTATATTGCATTATATTAAATTTTAACATTTAGGTTTGTGTCATTTTGATTTGACAAAATATGGTTTTCAACGGAAACTTTGGGATCATTTGGGTGAAGAATTAGTGGATGTTTTAGTTGTACAGGTTGTTTTTTTTTTCAAATTCTTTTATTTTTTTATTAAATTTTAATTAAAGAATTAAATCTATTTTGAAAAAGAAAGAAAGAAAAAATTTTGCTAGGTTTTAAATCTGATTGAAATCTTTTTTTTTTTTTTGATAAATCAAAAAAAATAAAATTAACTTAAATTTATTGTTGATATAAAACATAGTGTAAAAAAAATATTATTATTTCTTTTATGTGCAATTTATCCACCATTGCTAAGTAAGACTTACATTTCTCGTAATTTGAAATGAATTATTTTTTATTTACATTTCTTTTATGTTTTATTTATATAATTGATATGTTTTATTGATACATAATTTATCATATAATAAAATTCGTATTTTAATAATTTAACAAATTGAATTCAATTATTCTTGCATTTTTCAAAATTTTGCATTTTTTTCTTAATTAAAAACGAAAACAATTGATTCATTTTTTTTTTCCTTTTTATTTATCATTCATTTGATAAGAATTAAAATTATAAAATCAGTTTTTGTGATAAATTTTTGTTTAAAATTTTAGAATTGCGTACGCAGTTTTCCTGGTTCATGTCGTGCATGGACAATATTAATTGCTAATCTTATCGATCATTTGTGTGCAGCTACAATAAGCTCATATTCTACAAGTAATACTATGAAATTACAATATCGATCAAACTTAACTTCAGCTACAATCTCAAATCAATACCAAATTTACAACAGATGTAACAAATTGAATTGAAATGATCATCTTATTATCAAATTGTAAATTCATTATAAATAAACTTTAAAAAAAAAAAACAAAAAATGAGCAAGGAGAGAATAATTTCAAGTTATAGCTAAACAAATAAGATAAATATATTAAAGTTATGAGTAATGAATGATAACATTTGACTGTAAACACTAATCATTTTATGAACAATGGATGACATTCGATTGTAGGTTGTGATCATTCTGAATGATCATATTTTAATTACTTTATAAGCAGTGATCGATCGATCGTAAACTTTGATCAATAACACTTGATCGTAGACTTTAATTATTTTATAATTTAAAGATAAAGAAGTAAGTTATAATTGAATTTTAAAAATGTAAAGATTGCAATTTAATGATTCTCAGAATTTCGTATTCATTTCAAACTTTTTAACATGAAAAAAGACACAACTCACATTGATAAGCAATCATAGATGTAAATTTAGCCTAAATTTGGTAACTTTTTTTTTTTAAATCATCTTTTTAAATCACAAATGAAATTTAATTCGTCCTTAATTTGATAATTTTTTTTCTTCCTAATTTTAATTTTATTTCATTTAAATTCAATCTTTCAATACTTATATTAAATTGGAAATAGTTCAACTTTGATTATTATATTAGATGTAATTTCAATTTGCTTACTTCTTCGTGTAAAAAAAAAAAAAAAAAAAACAACTAAAACTATTTTATTATTCTTAAATTGTTTAACAAAACAAAAATTATGTCAGTTAAATTGTTATAACGCTTGATATTTATTAGAAAATGCATTATTTGTTTTACTTTGTATAATTACTTATCATTACGATAAGGTAACGATTGCTTTTTTTTTCCTTTTTTTGATGAAAAGTTATTATGACATATCAAAGGTCATTTGTATATATCAAAAGGTCATTTGTATATATATATATATATCAAAGGTCATTCTAAGATTTTACAAAAAAAAAAGAAAAGAAAAAAAAAGATTGTGATAATATACAATATTGCAAAACAAAATGACTAGAAAAAAAAGAGAAATAATTATTAAACAAATGATTATTTTTATCTGATAATTATCATTTTTTAATCATAATATAAATTATGGTTTAAAAAAAGATGCATCAAAAAGGAAAAAAGTTTCTTTTTTTTTTTTAAAAAAAAAACACCTGCTATCATTTTCCAATAAATATGAAAAGATAATATGATAAATATATCATTATCATATTGTATGAGTAGGCAAAAGCGCATTTGAGCAATTGCACCAAAAAAAAAAAAACGATTTATTAATTGCAAAATTTTTTGTAATTACCTAATAAAATTTGTTTGTTCTGAAGAAAAGAAAAAAAAGAGAGATTTTTTTTTTTTATTATAAATATCAAAATTTGAAATACATATTGAAATTAAAAATTATTTTTATAAATAGATTTTCAGCTTATATTTTTAATTAGTTGAACGATAAACAATATGGAAAGATTAATTGATATTAAGGAGATAAAACCTGCATAATCACTCCATATAAAAAAATAAATATTAGATAAATCCGGAATTCCTGAAAAAATATTGTTTAATCATTAGGAAAATATACTATTACATTAAATTTTTCAATAATTAACAAATAATAATCAAACACAAGATCATTTAAATACCTTTAAAGAAAAAAAAAAGAGAAGAAATTTTATACATATAACCGGAAAAGGCAAACACAGCTGATATTTCAACATTAATATAAAATTTCGAATATAAGAAATTGCATAACTATCGAATTAAATTTTCAAGACTGCATTGCTGTACGCGGTGGTGATGGTGTTAATCCAAGAAATTGATACCTTTTCCGTCTAAAATATATTATTATGTTTATTAATGAGTAAACAATTAGAAATAATAAGTATGAAAAATGAATTTTTTAAAATTCTAATATTTTATTTAAGTGATAAATGAAGAATATCCTTTAGTTAACCTTAGAGATAAGGTATGTTTAGTAATAAATTATTTTTAAAATTTATCTAAATGATCAGCAATAATTTATTTGGGTCATTAAAGAGGACATTTAATGTAAAATATGCAACAATGTAAACTTTTTCAAGTAAACAATATAAATTTGCTAAATTGAATAAGTAAAAATTATCTTAATTAAAAATTAAGTAACACTAAGTTAAGTATATACCACTTAGCATCTTCCATTACTTTATTTGTGGTAAAAAAAAAAAAAAAAAAAACAATTTGAAGTAACCTTAAGTTAAGTATATGCCATTTAGCCTCTTCCATAACTTGATTTCTCCCATCTGATGATGATGTCACTTCGATACCATTATTAAAAAGATGTTTTTCACTAATACTTTTCTTAACTGATCTTGTTGCTCCATCAGTATTTCCGGTTTGTCCACCTATTTCAGCATCACGTATTGAATTTTTCCATATTGACTAAACAAATCATTCATCAATAAAAGATGCTGCATGGCATTCATAGAAGCAAAACATTACTCATATCAAATGCCTTTTTTTTTCTTTAAAAAATACAATTTAAAAATGATTAATAACCTCATTAACTGGAAATGTTTCCTGACATACAGATCGTCTTCGTAAACGTCGTTGTCTTCGTAATTCTTTTTCCTGATCAGTATTACTGTTGCTATTATTTTTAGCACTTATCTGAAATAGTATAAATTCAAAGATAATGAATAATTTCATCAAGACTTCTTAATTTTTTATCATTTTATAATTTAAAAAAAAAAAAAAAAGAATTTAGGAATAAACTGAAAGTAATACTTAAATGAAATATGCTACAAAATTTTATTACTTATAATAAAATGCTAACCTTAGAATCATTTTTGATATTTGCAGCAGTTTCATTATTTTTATCATTATAATCAGTGCTGAATTGTGTGGAGGAATTTTGAAATTGTAATGAAATTGCATTATTATCCAATGAAAAACGTTTTGATGTATTATCATGGCGATTTGAAGTATTATTAGATGGCGGACATGTGCCAGTAGCGCCATTACCATTTGTAAATGAATTGAATGACTGCAAAATTAATTGCATAATGAAATTGGATGAAATGAATAAATATTTCAATTGATTGAATTATTTGAGAAAAAAGTGAATATATCATTCAATTATTATAAGATAAAATGATTGTAATGTTAATAAAAACAGAAATGTAACATTTTATTATCTTCATCCGTTTATTTCGGGATAATGCTAATTGTGGATCTGTATGAGTTGTATCATCCGTTGTTTCCGGATGACACTAATTGTGGATCCGTATGAATTGTATCATCTGTTGCTCCCGGATAAAACTGTGGATCCGTTAAGATGTATCATAGTTGCTTCCGGATGATACTAGTTGTGGATCCGTGTAAGATACATCATCCGCTATTTCTGAATGATACTAATTGTGGATCCGTATGAAAATGCATCAACCGTTGCTTCCGGATAATACTGATTGTAAATCTGTACGGGATGTATCATCCGTTATCATGATAAACTTACATTTACAAGATTTTTGAAATGCATCATTAACGAAGCAGATGCTGATTGAACAGTTGAAGTAGTCGGTGCCATTGCATGTAATAATGGTTGAAAAGTTGTTTTTGTTGGCGCAATTGTCTGAGGAGTGGTAAATAACGCCCGTGCAACAGGAGGTGTTACAGCTATTTTTGGTGATACTGAAGGTATTACCGACGGTAATGATGAAATTAAAGCTTGTTCTGGAGTTGATACTGTGGTAAATAAACGAACATTGTAAGGCGATAAATTGGAATTTGTGGTGACCAATGTTTGTTTATCATTTTTTGCATCAGTATTATGTACAGTTGTAGATCGAGCTATAATTGGAAAATAATGAAAATTTTAAATTTATATGTAGGAAAAGAAAAAAAAAACACAACAATGCTATGTATGTTAAAAAATTTAAAACTAAAAGTTAAAATTAAAGTAAATTGAAAAAGAAAAAAACATGTCGGTGAAAAGTTTTCTCTTCTTTTGTTTTTTCTTTGATTTTTAGTTTTAATGAATGAAAAATTAGCAAATATTAAGAAATAATTGTATTATGTTAAATAAATTAAAAATAAGAGAAATCAAAAACTAAGAGTAAAAGTAGGTTAAAGTAAATTAAAAGTGTGACATTTTGAAGGAATTTGAAAGAACATAATTTCAAATTTAATTTGTTAAATTTTAAAAACAAATTAAACTTCAAATTAATTCAAAAATAAACAAACAAAGTGCTGCTGGTGGTGCTGGTGGTGTTTGTGGTGGTACAGTTACTGAAGAATGCCTTCCGGTCAGCGGTAAGTGTTTACTACCGCCACTATTATCTGATTTTTCCACGCGCAAACAGTCAACATTTGTTGCTGCTTCATAATCGGCACAAGATTCATCGAATGAGCCTTTAAAAAAAAAAGGAAAAAGTAAACAAATGAAATAGAAATTTAAAATTTAATTTCTAAAAATCCTAAAAAGAACAAATTTAAATTTAAACATTCTTTTTTTTTTATTAACTATAAGAATGAAAACATATGTTACTGACATTTTTTCTCTTTTTTTTTTCGTTTTATTTTTGGTTTTAATGAATGAGAAATTAAGCACATTAAAGTAAATTAAAAGTAGGAAAAATAAATAAATTAAAAATAGAGAATTCCGGAATAATCAAAACAAGCATTCCATTTTTTCTTTTTTTTTTTTGATCTTATTTTACACTATTATAAATGTATAACTAGAAAAAGAAAAACAAAAATATTTCATTTTGCTATTGATAGAATTACAAATAAAAAATTTATTTTTTCATTTTTATTTTATTAACTTCTAAATTTATACAAATCAGAAAAGAATTGAGAATTTCGAGAATGAAATATTTCTTATAAAACTGTACAAATGTCAAATATAATTGTTTATTATTTACAATAAATTGATAAATTTTTGTGCAACATTTATCAATTATATTGGTGATTGATGAAAAATTAAAAAAATTTTCCAAATTGGAATAAGCTAAAAACTAATATTATTTAATTTTTTCGCTATGATATTATCAGCTAACGAATTTATTTCTATTAATTAATATGGAATCATGTTTTAATCAATTTAAATATCAAAAATGAAATAGTAATTAGTAATTAAATATTAATTGCTGATAAACACTAATCAGTAATCAAATAGTAATTCCTAACAAATACATATATACATGTACCATGCCATCGACTAATAATTGTTGGTGCTTTTAGATGACTGCTAATACCGGTTTCTGAATCCGCTTGCGCAAATGTCTGTTCAACTACTGACGGTGCATCATTCATTTTTTTGCTATACCGTTTCCCGCTCGAAAGCTATAAGAATTTTAAATGTATTTTTTAACATTTACAAATTATTCCTCTAATTATTTAATAAAATGAAGAAAAATAAAAAAAAAAAAAAACAAAAAGCTGAAAGAATTTTCCAATTAAACTAATATGCTAAAATAGAAGAACGTTAACAAAAAATAAAAAAAGAGCAAAAAAATTTAATTAGAGAAATGATATTTTTAAGAAAGTAATATTTTTTAATGATTTATAAGACTTTATATATAATTTAGGATAGGTGACAATATTTATGTGACATTACATTAATGGATCAATTGATCAATTGATTGATATGATCCAATGATAATAGTAGACTAATATCAGTGAAAAAAAAAAAGAAAAAGAAAATTATTTTACTATCAGATTAAATATAAAAGACGAGACGATAAATGAAATTCCATTTGTACGATACTAAATTGCCACATGATAAGTTGACAAATATATTACAATTGATACAGGTCAAAGGTTAACGAATTGATTCTCTAGTCATATTTCATTAAATATTTTATTGAAAGAAAAAGAAATTACGCTAATCAGCTTGATTCAGATAAAATATCATAAGAATGTAAATTAATTCAACCATTATTATTTAGTAAATAACAAATAATAAAATAAAATTTAGCACTATTACACTATTAATCTTAACGCTTATAATTCCAAAGTTTAAAAACTATTATTTTAAAAATTTTTTAAAAAATATAATATTGCAATTACAAGAGAAAAATAAAAAAAGCAAAAAAAAAAAAACTTTGACAAACACATAAAGAAAAAAATAAACAAAAACAAAAAAAACAAAGAAAACTAATAACTATGACATTTTGATGCTAATTTATATCAAAAGCGATAAGAAAAAAAAAAACTATTAAATAAAATAAGAAAATTTTGCAACTTATTTTTAGCTTTTTTTTCATTTTTTTTTACTTTTTTTTTTCATTCTAGCATTTGACGACAAAAAAATTAAAAAAAAAAAAAAAAAAAAAAAAAACGCACTCAAAAATTGATGAAAAAACCTTGCTGTGTCGAAGTGAATTGAATGATCGCTAGAATGAATGATTGAACAAATAATCTCGATGGAAAATATAGATATGATAATGTTATCATAATTGAGATAAGATGAAAGAAATATTTATATATATATATATATATGCAATGTATGATAATATATGCTATTCCGGATTCCGGAATATTAATATTATTGATATAATTTGTAGGATATAACAATGATTTCAACTTCCTAATTTATTTAAAAGAAAAAAAAAGCTTGATTTTTTAAAGAGTAAAAAAAAAAAAAAAAAAAGAAAATTAAAAATAATAATTACCGTTAATGAACGATTACTCTTTGTGCTTTTCTCAATGGTATTTGGTGGTACTGTTTTATGCCGTTTTTGATGTGTTCGATTTGTTTTTTCCTGATATCCGGTCACTTTTGAGGTATTTGAGGTATTCAGTGGTATATGAAATGTTACCTAAAAAATAAAAACTAAATTTGCATTTCTAATCAAAATTAGTAATTTTAAATAATCTTTACTAATTACATTTTTTTTTTTTTTTTTTTTTGAAGATATTATTAATCATCTATCAATCAATCAATCAAAAAATCAATCTACCTGAAACTTTTTAATTTATATTAGTTTACATTACTTTCTTTGGTTTATATCATTACAATAATAATTACATGCTTAGTTAATATTATTGTGATATTAATTACGTTACAATAATTCCTTAAAAACTAAACATTAAAAAAAAAAAAACAAAACAAGTAAACAAATTAAAAATAACCTCAACATCACCGATTTTCTTTTCATCATTATCAAGCGATGTTTCAATTCGCAGCTTACTAAATAAATCGGCGGTACCACTAGTTGATGCCGCAGCTGCTAATCTTGCATTTACCGCATCGATCACATCAAAATTTACAGCGCCATATTTAGGCCTAAAAAAATTATTTATAATTAAAAAATTAAACTTTATTAAAACTTTTTTTTACACAGTATTAAAAATAAAAATTTAAGCAGAAAAAAGAACAAAAATAAAGTGTAAAGAATGAAAAATTAGGAGGAAAAAAAAAGATACAATGAAAATAAACAATTTGATAAGATATTTTTCTATTAGATTTAAAAAAAAAAAATAATTGATTTGCTTTTTTTTCGTTTAATTTTTAAATTATTCAAAAAATGATGAAAAAATTTTGTCTTCTGCTCATTTAAAAAATAAATATTTTTTTTTCTTTTATCTTTTGATCATTTAAAAATTAAATTTAAAAATAAATTGAAAATTTGCTATACCTCATAAACTCTTGTCGTTTGTATTTAGGCTTATCATGCGTATCTTTTTCTGCAGTAGACGAATATTTGACATGATGACCAGTGTGATCATGGTCATCGTCCTCTTCACCCATTGTAATTGGTGCTTGAGTGTCCAGTCCTCTGAAGTTTCTATCTACTATAAATTTTTGAATAATATTTGAATTTTGCTTTAAAAATACTGAAATGAAATGAATAAATCATTAAATGATTTATGAAAATAGTTTAAAAAAAAAACAAAAAATAATTAGTATTAGTTTTAAGCAATAAATAGTTATTTTACTAATATTTTTCTCGTAAAATTTAATAATTGTTTTTTAACAATTGGAATTGCTCGTTGTTTTAATTCTATAAGAATGATTTTTTAAATAGTTGTAATTAATATGGGAAAGATTTCAAAAAGAGAAAAATGTTAAAGTTTAAATGAAATAGAAGATAAACAATAAAATTTCGATCTAATTAACTAAAATATATGAGTTTAAATTGATAAACTGGAATAAGTATTGTTTAGTTTTTAATCAAAAATTATATCATTATCAATACAGTAAATGTGATGTCTGATAAAGTAAGATAAGGAGAGAAAAACAAAATATTAGGCAAAAAAAAATTAAGAAATTATAGTGATGACTGATAATTATGCATTCCATAAATTTATTTAATAAATTTACGTAAAAATATTTCTTAGCATCTAATTTCCATATGATAAATTCTAGATTAAAAAAAAATCGGAAACTATTTACTTATTCTTATCTTCGAGTAAACGATCTTTTAATGCAGTTGTATGCGAACGATTTCGTGCTGGAATTGTACCTGAAATTAAATTCAAATATTACTATTTTTTTTTGTTTACACTTAAAACTTTAAAAAGGTAATCCTTCTGTTACAGCAAATTCTTTATTACAGCATTTTTTAAAAAAAGAAAAAAAAATCGTTTCCTGTTTTTTATTTTCTTAGTAAATGTTAGCTGTTTATTTTTATTAAAATGTGTTAATTAATTAGAAACGAAGGAAAAATCACCAAAATAATTTTTTTTTTTTTTTTGAAACAGAAGAATGAGTTGAAAGAATTTAAAAAAAAGTGTTACACAATTTTTTTTTCTTTCTTTTCAAACAATTAAAGTAAAACAAAAAAAAAAAATACTGTTGCAAACTTCTCAAATTTTTTGAATTATGTTATACATGAAAGTTTACAAAAAAAAAAAAAAAAAAACAAATAAATAAACAAACAAACCATTTAAGCGAACTTTTGGACCAAGATTTTCATAATTAATTTCCCAATCATATGGCTCATCAGTATTTATACCATGCCTGAATTATGCAATAATATTTATCAAGAAGGATTAAATTATTTTGATATTATTTATTAATTCCAAAATAACAAAAAAAAAAATTAAATTTTCTTTCTTTTTTTTTTACCGTGTAATAATATTTCGTAGATTATTTTCCAATAAGCCATAACTTGGCTCATCTGGATAGCCAAGTGTTTTTAGATATGCTGCAAAATCATGTAATTCTCTTGGACAACCATCCAATAAAACATTTAAATTCATTTCCTCTTTCATTCGACCCACTTCATCTTTATCCTAAAAATATTTTATTTAGTTGCTAAATAATATAATACTAAACAAATATATATTTCATATTACTTTGGCATATCCATTTCATTTCAATTATTAAAAATTTTCAATATTGCCCCATTTTTTTCCCTCATTCATTCTAATAAAATTGAAAAAAAAATTAGCGCTATTATTGATATTTTACTATTAATCATAAGAATTCTTTTAGATATTTCAGTAACAATTAAATATTTCAAACCTATCTCTTACAACTAATCAACATTTATAATTATAAATAAAATGATTTTATTCAATATAATTTTATAAATAATCTTTCGTTCGTTCATTTTCTTTCAATGCAAATAATTTTTGATTGAATAAAAAGGAAAATAGGGAGAAAAAAAAAAGAAAATATGAAGCTTAAATAAGCTTATTATTATTATTATGTAAAAGGAACATCTGCTCTAAGAGGATTATTTGCGCAATTCATTTTTCATTTTCGCTCATTCAATTATTTTACTGCAATTTAAACAACATTTTTTTTTTCCCTTCTTTTTTAGACCAATAATTATTATAAATGGGAAATTATTATCATTATTATTATTATTATTATTATTATTATTATTATTATTATTATTATTATTATTATTAGCTAATATTTTGTGAAAAATTTGTTCGTTTAGAATTAATGAAATGAGGAAATAATAATTATTCAATTCTGAAACAACTGATATTATTATCAATATTACAAATTCTTGCTGCAATTTACTTTAAATTATTCATTTTATCTGTTCATTTGATGTAATATGTATATATCATATCAATTTGATAATTATAGAAAAGAAAAAATTTTACAATTAATAAATGTAATAAATTTTACTCACTGCTTCCTTTTACCATTTTTGTTATTTATTTCAATTAAATTAAAACAAATGAAATATAATTTTACCAAAGAAATGAAAAAAAAAAGAAAAGAAAATTCAAAACAATTATGATAAGAAAAAAATATCACTAAATTTCGTTTATCTTTTCAAATTTATTTTCTCATTAATGTATTATGCAATTTTAAATCAATTAAATTTAAATTTTGTTAAAGGATGAAAAAAAAAAAAAAAAAAAAAATAAACAACTGAAATGTTTTGTTTGTTCCCTTGTTTCTTTTTTTTTTTTTTGTGATAAAATGATATAAAATTCATCTTTTCTTTCCTTTCTTACTTCCTTCCTTTTATCATCTTTTCAACTAATGCTAATCAGCTAATAATAAAATAAATAAACAAACTTAAATTACTAAGAAAAAAAAATAATTTTTTTTTTTTCATTTCTTTAACTTTTACTTATTTAATTTATTTTTTATCTCTTCTTTTTTTCTTCATTATCTTATCCATTTCGAATAGCTTTCATTCTTTCTTATCAACTATTTTCACTTCCATCTATTATTTAATTGTTTATAAGAAATGAAAGACAACATTTTTCTTATTTCTTTCCTTTCATTCTGATCAGATGATCACATATCAGCTGACCTTGAAAAATTTTTTAGATTAGCATGATATGAAATCAAAAATTACTTGCAATAAGAATATAAATTTATGATTGAAATAGATGCACAAACATTAAACTATGAAATTCCTTCATTTCTTTTTCGTATTTATTTTTTTCATGAAAAAATTTATTTAGAAATTTGAAGTGGAAAAAAAAAGTCTATTTTTTCGCTCTTTTTTTTCATCCCTTTTTTTTTAGTTTATAAATAAAAATTTAGTTAAAATATGATGAATGATTGAAAAATGAAAAAGTTAAAGTTATATAAAATATGATGAAAAAAAATGAATGAAAGTTTTGAAAAAAAAAAGTGAAAAATTAATATATAAAGAATTATTTAAGAAATTATTGAACAGCTGCAACTTTTTTTTTTTTTTTTGTTTTTTAGCTAAACAATTTTTTCATTATAACTTTAATTTTTCATTCTTTTCCTTTTTTTTTTTGTTTGGAAAGAGAAGAAATGATATTTTTACAATATTAATAACATTTAGTTTAGTGAAGAAGGAAAATGTACGAAAAGTAAGATAGAAAGTTTTATGGGAATTAATTAGCAAAATAACAAAATAAATAACATTTCTATCAACAAAAAAAAAAAAGACTTTAAAAAAAAGTAAAGAAATATTTAAGAAAATGAATTAAATTTTGGAAAAAAAAACTTCCAACTCAAATATTAATTCTAATTCCTTCTTTAATTTAAGAATGAAAAAAAAAATTTTTTCTTTATAAATTTAAATTTGTAGTTTAGAAAAAAAAAATTCATAGTTGAATGAAGAATTTGTTCGATGATTTGTCTTTCCAGATGTATTACAACCCTTTTTCCACTTTAATCATTTATTTCATTCCTAATCTAAAAATCAAATAATCATTAACTAATTATTCATTTGTGGTTTATTATTTAGTAATAAAATTCAATCTAATATTACAAATGAAATTTGTAAAATTAATGGAAATGAAAAGCATTTTCGAAATTGAAATATAATTTTTACCTTAATCTTCCTCCATGGCAATGAACCCTGCAAAAATTCAACTAACATATAAAACAATGACCATAGATCATCTTGTCGTCCCATTTCCTAAAAAAAAAATTTGAAATTATTGAAAAACTTGCATTAAGATGAAAATTTTAGAAATTTAATTGTAAAAAAATTTCCTTCCTTTGTTCGTATAGCAGAATTTAAATAAAATTTCTCATTTGTTGAATAAAAATTTGATTACAATAATATTCAAAGCTAAAGCAAAATAATAATTTAATTTCTTTTTCATTCTTTATTTTCATTATTATCATCTAATCACATCATTTTTATTTTAGAATTATTCATTTCTCGACTTAACAATCAACTAATTTTCTAAAATATTTAGAGGGAAGAAAAATTAACTTTTACCCTATTTTTATGAGCTGAAACAGCAGCATATCGTACGGTACCTCGAAAACCAGCTGCACTTCTTGGACTTCGAATTTCACCTTTTGCATTAAGATATTGTCGTGCAAGACCAAAATCAAGCATAAAAACCATTTTACAGGTAGCATTTGTTCGACCCATTGCAAAATTTGACTAAATATTTAATCAATTAATATTAATTATCAATTATAATCATTAAATAAAGTCATATCTGATAAGAATAATAAAATATTTGAAATTATTTAAAATTTTATATTTTGAAATTATTTAAAATTAATATTTAAAATTAAAATATTCTATCATTTTTTTTGTGATACATATATTGTATTAATTTTACAAAAAAATATATACTAGTTTATCAATTATTAATTAATCATCAATTAATCAATTATCAATATCAATCCACTATCAAAAAAAAAAGGTCATATCTAATAATAACAAAAAACATTTAATTTTTAAACTACTCGAACTCTTTTTCTTGATACAGGTATTATATTAATTTTATTAAAAAAAAAAAAAAAAATCTATTGAAATAAAAAAACATTTTCAAATATATTTGAAAAGCGAACAGGTTTGATATCACGATGTAAAAATCCAATTGAGTGTATTTCTCGGATAGCATTCAAAATTTGTAATCCAATTCGAATTGCTGTTGACAATGAAAATGATTGCTTGGGTGATTCACGACGTAAATCGGCTAAATTCTTCCCTTGTAAGCTCATTACCAAATAATTAAATTTGTCATTTCGTCCACACCCGTAAAATTTGCATGCATGTCGCTTTCCTATATAAATTAAATATGAAATTGAACTAAAAAAAAAATTAAAATAGCACATATTTCAAACAAATTATAATTATTCAATCATATATTAACATTAAATTATATAAAACTGAACTAGCATGTCGCTTTCCTATATAAATTAAATATGAAATTGAACTAAAAAAAAAAAATTAAAATAGCATATATTTCAAACAAATTATAATTATTCAATCATATATTAACATTAAATTATATAAAATTGAACTAAAGAAAAAAATTAAAATAACATATATTTGAAACAAATTGTAATTATTTAATTTTTCTCTGAACATTATATTATTTTCATTCTTAGATAAGTTTAATACATTTTAAATAAATGAGATAATTTTGAAGCATTCATAAATTTTTCCTATCTCTTCTTTTTTCTTTTTTTTTTAAACTTTTAAATTTTAAAATTATCTCATTTATTTAAAATAGTTTGGATGGTTTTCCAAATAAAAAAAAAAAAGAGAAGGAAAGGAAATGAAAAGAAAATTTTTGATTAATTAATAACCTTGAAGTCTTCTTAGTACGGCAACTTCCATTTTAAGTACTTGTTTGGTTGCTTTACTAGATTCGACTTTCATAGCTACTCGTTCACTACGATTTTGTAAATCAATTGCTTCATAAATTTCGCCAAAACCTCCACCGCCAATTTTCATTTTCTATAAAATTATAATTTATATTTATAATTAGCATTAATTGTTCATTATTATATTTATTAATTGCTATGTATACAATAATAATTTTGTTTTTTTTTTTTTTTTAATTTTGATTTGTAAAATTATATGGCTAAAATTCAAGTGCTTAAAGATTTCTTTTTTCATCATTTTTTTATCTTTGTTTTAGTAATTTTTTTTTTCATTTTGTTTTTTTTAATTTTATTTTTGAACTAGATTCACTTTTTTTAAAAAAAAAAAAAAGAAAGAAAAGAGAAAAAAAGCTGCTAAATGGTTATTAAAAAAACTTGGTTTTTTTTTTTTTTTTTTGAAAAAATTAAAAAATGTTGTCAAAGTGGAAAAAAGTTTAAGTTAAAATGCAACAACATAAGCTAATGTATTATTATAAAAAATAATTGATAAAATAAATTAAATTTGAAATGATTTCATTTTGAAATAAAATAGAAAAAAAAAAAAAAAAAAAGAAAAATGAAAAAATTTACGATCTTCCATCGTTCTCGGATAATTTGACTTGCTTGAAGTATTTCGCCTTCGCTGGAACTCGTCATAACGGTTTGGCATTTGTCATTCAGTATGTATTTTGATTATTAGAACATTTAATAAATAGAACAGAAGGGAAATAAATTTCGAGGGAGAGAGAGAGAGAGAGAGAGGGAGGGAGAGAATGAGCGAATGATAACCCGTATCAAAAAAAAAAGAAAATACTTGAGGCACCTGAAAAAAAAAAATTTTTTTTTTTTAAATTTTAAGTGAAAATAAAAATTTCACCAAATAGCGATATGTAACGAATGTTTAAAAAAAAGCGATAAAATACAGTAATATTTAATTTATTTTGAATATAAATGACAAAAAAAAAAAAAAAAACGGAGATGTAAATTCAATTAATTTCTTTTTTTTTTAATTCATAAAATGAATTATTATAAGTTCATGATAAATTCATGCACATAAATCAGATGAATTGATTATATTCTTTGATTTCTTTGTAATCATAAAAAAAAAAAACCAAGATTTTATTTTCTAGACTTTTACCGTTCATTTTCTAAAATTATTTTTTTTTTTTTTTTAAAGAAAAGTGTGAAAAATAACATATTTAAATAAATTGTTAAACATATTTTAACCATTTAAATAAATAATTCAAATCAATTTTGACAAGGAAAAAACACGATTTCTTCTTTTTTGAGAAAAATATTCTTGTAAATAGAAATATTCTAGTAAAAATAAATTTTCTAATACTTGTTGATAGGTTTTTCTCATCATCATTTCCATTGTTATTGTCGTTTCTGTCGCATTTCTTTAACCCAATTCATGTCAATTTCTTACCAAATTTCAAAGACAAATGACATGCAATTTGTGGAATATAGCAAACAAATTAAATAATCCATTTGTGACTTTCAAAAAAAAAAAAAACAGCGAGAGAGAGAGAGAAAGAAAGGAAGGGAGAAAGAGAGAAAAAAAGTGATTTTTGATTTTTTTTTTTATTTATTTTTCTTTTTTTGAAATAAAAATTTTAGAAAGAAATGGGTCACTTTATTTATTTATGTATATATATATGTGATAGAATTTCTTGAAATAATCGTAAAATGGATGATTAAATAATTTTGATTAATTAATTAATTTTTTTTTGTAAAATGTGTAAATTATTTCAAATTTTTAGTACCACATCATTATCATAAAAAAAAAAATACATCATAAGTTTTATAAACATAAGTACATAAAGCCCAAATATGAATTATTTCCTAAGTATAAGTAAATAAAGCCAAAAAATGAGTTATATTTGAAACGGAAACAAATAAATTAAATTTAAGGAAAAAATAAAAAGAAACAAATAATAAAATAGATGAAATTTAATTAATGATGAAAAAATAAAAGAAGGAAAAGAAAAGAGACGAGATAATTTGATAATTAATGAATGATATAATAATGTACGAAGAAATATTTACACATAATATTATTTAGGACAGTAATTGTCAACAATAAATGAAACGATGCGCATTAGGAGCAAATCAAATTATACAAACATTTGAGCAAATTTGAATGACAAAAGCAAAAGTTTAAATAATAGACAAATTAGTATTTGCTAAGTATAATTACATGTAAAATACATAAATATATTTAATATAATTAAATATTTGGAAATGAATGAACGAAGAAAGGATGTGAGATAATGTAAATAATACTTTTAAAAAATTATATTCTAAATAATTCTCAATCATATTACAATATTTTATTTCTTTAATAATAAATTTAAAAGTTTCAAGAAAATAAATTCAAAAAAAAAAAATAAATAAATAAAAATAAAGACAGAAAAAAAAAGGATGAGAAATGATGTAAATAGTTAAAATCTATTGGTATATTTTTTCAAGTTTAAATGAAGCAGCTTGTGAAATTTGTTTTGAAAAGGAAAAAAAAAACAAAGTAAAAAATAAGAAAGAAAAGAAAAAAAAAAACAGTAAAGAAAGAAAATGAAACTGGATTAAATGTTATTGAAGAAAAAAAAAAGAGAAAAAAATACATTCACAAAATAAATCTTTTCCGCTTTATTTTTATTATTATTTTTTTTTATTTCTATTTTATCTTTCTTTAATTTTTGCTGCTTTGTTTTGTTCAATTTAATACAACATTTTCTTTTTAATTTCTATTTTAGGAGATAAATATCTTTTAATTTCGTTCAAGAAATGCTTACCCTTTAATTTTTTAAGAGATAAATAGGATATCACAATTTTTCGTTTAATTTTTTCTTTTATTATTTCGCATAATTTTTATGACTTATTTAATTCATAAATGGAAATTTTTGTTTAATTTAATACAAAATGTTTTATAAATTTGTCAAAACATATTCAATGAGTTATTTTTGAAGTAATATTTTAAGATTAAATATAACAAAATAAATGTTTGAATTTTATTTGTTGTAAAAATTACAATTTGGTTAAAAATTCATTAAAATTAGACAAACAAAAATTTTTAAAAAAAAAAACCAAAACAAAATGATTTTTATTTTCAACTTGTTATGATATTATCTTTTAGCATAAGGAATTGACGAATGACAATGAACGAAATAGTTTTTTTTTGCAAGACAAATAGAAAAGAAAAAAAAAATTTTTAATCTTCTCTGTTTGGATTCCCAAAACTATCATTCATTTAAATTTTAGTCTCTTTTTTTCCTCAGTTTTTTTTTTTTTTTTTTTTTTAAAGAGAAGGAAAATCTTTTTTTTTTTTTTTTTTGTTATAATATAAAATGCGAGAAGTGACATGAAAAATATAGCTTATATATGTCACAAAATGGATTCTCTTTCATATAAAATTTTTAGAAAGAACATACTTTATATATTATTGCTAAAAATGATAAAAACCATTTTTAATTTTTTTTCCCCAAAAAATGAAAAAAATCAATAAAGTCGAAAAATTTTGAATGAATAATTGTTTATTTTCAAATTTTTCCAAAATTTAATAAATCAATCAATCAGTAGTGCGATTTCTCTTTTTTTTAATATAATATAAATAAAATATTATTTAATACATCACTTATAAAATGCTACATACATATATACCAATCGAAGTGATAAGGTAAAAGTGATAAGATAAAATTCGATATGATTGTTTAAAACTTTTTTTTAGATTAGGCTGAATATTGCTGATCATACATTTATCATTTTCATTTTCATTTTTCTCTCGGTAATTTTAAAAATTTAAAAAATTTATTTCTATTTACAAATTGTATACATTGCATTTAGCCATCCTTCGAATACTCATCACAAATTGCTCTATGTATTCAAATAAATGTTTTAAGTATTTGAGTACATGTTACTTCAGTATTCAAGTAGATGTTATATTTACCAACTAAATATTCCATAGAATAAAAGTAAATTTTGAAACGTAATGACTGAATTAAAAATTTTCACTACTGACAATAACAATTATCATGACAAATAACAATTAACATATTTGAACAAAGTATTAAAATTTTTAAAATAGAATTGTTTGGGAATAATAGTCTTGAAATTAAAAAAAAAAAAACCTGAGAAAAGAAAAAAATCAATTTAGTTGAGGAAAGTGTCCTTTTTTTTTAAAAAAAAAAGTAAATTTGAATCAAAAAAAGTAAATAAATAATAAAAAATACATAAAAATTAACTTTTACTCAAAAACAGAAGAAAACTTAAAATTAGTGAATGAAAAATATAAGGATGTTTGTTTGTTTAGATAATGCAATTAACGAAAGTTAAAGAGTATGAGTAATCATTAAATAACTCACATATTAGTTCTTATTTATGCCATCAAATATTCTTCAAAATGTTTTAGCATAAATTCAATAATAGAATATTTGGAGAAAAAAATCATATCTATAACCTGAATAAGGAGAAAAAATTTTTTCTTTTTTGAAAAATTTCAAATTTGAAAAAATATTTTTATTAAAATTTTATCAAATCTTTTTTTTACAAAATGAAAAAAAAAATTGAATCAAACTAGAAAGTAGTGGAAAAAGGCTAAAATATATAAAAATGTGTGGAGCTAAAAAGTTTAATAATAACAAGCAAAGTTTTTTGTTGGAAGATTTTGAAGTGAAATATGAGGGAGAGAGAGAGAGGGAGAGAGAGAGAAATAGGAGGTGCAAAAAAGATGAAAAGTATGCAAAAGTTTTTGTTAAAAGATTTTAAAGTGAAATATAAGAGATAAAGAGAGAGAGAGAGAGAAAGAGAAATAGGAGGTGCAAAAAAGATGAAAAGGATGCAAAGTTTTTGTTAAAAGGTTTTAAAGTGAAATATAAGAGAAAGAGAGGGAGAGAGAGAAATAGGAGGTGCAAAAAAGATGAAAAGGATGATGATGACGATGATAATGATGATGACGACAACGACAACTGAGAACCTTCCTTTACAAATCAAAACTCTTTTGAAAGCGATCGATGAGAATTTGAATGATAGATGGATAGATTGGACAAGACTTCTGTGATCTTCAAAATCTTTACAGCAAGCCAAGCAAGCACTTCAATCTTCCTCCTTCCTGTCTCACATCAATGCCTGCCTATTTGCGCCCCGCTAAGAAGAACACATACACAAATACACACAACACACATACATACATACGCAGACATACACACACACAAGTGAAAAATTGCAATTTTCATGTTTTCAATCAACGCCTTTTTTTAAGTTAAAAAAAAGGTCGTTTTTTGTTAAATTTTGTAACATATATTTTGAATAATTTAATTATTAATGTAAAAATGGAAAAGGGAGAATTATGAATGAGTAATACTGAAAGTTTAAAATAAAGGTTTTTTAAAAATATTAACTTTAATTTTTTACGAAAACTTTTTTTATGCTCTTATAAAATTTAGGAAATTTTATTGTTTGAATAAATGAATATTGTTATCGCGTGTCATCACATTTTTCCTTTTTGTTTTCGTTTAGATTTAAATTTTATTTAAAATTCTTCACGAAAAAAAGAAAGAAAGAAAAAAAGAAGGAAATCTTATATATTCAATCAATGTTACAAAGTATTTATGACAGATGAAAAAGTTATATACATTAGATTTGAAAAGTTTTTTTTCAAAATA